AATTCTTGCTTTACAATCATACTACAAAGTTACAGTGGTAAGACAATATGGTATTGGGATAAAAGGACATGTGGATAAAAGGAACAGGATAGAACATAGAAAAGCAACTCCAGGAACACTCAGCTAAGTTATTTTTGACAAAGGGGCCATTTACCTTTGCTGCAGGAAAGACGGCCTCCTTACAAATGCTTCTAGGAAAACTGGCTCTCTACATGCCCTGATTGAACCTAGACTCATCTCTCCATGCACTAAGCTAAAATTCAAACAGATCAAAGATCTAAACATTAGAACAGAAACACTTAATGTGCTGGAAGATAAAATAGGTAAACTTTTGAAGACATGTGTAGGCAAAGGCTTTCTGAATAAAACCGTGATTGCTCAAGAAATAATATGAAGAATCAACATTTGGGATCACAGCAAATTAAAAAGCTTCTTCATAGCAAAGAAATCCACTGCGCGAAGAGAAAACCTAACTGTCTCAGTGACTTTTCACTTGTTGCTGGGACAAAATACCTGCCACCCAAAATTAAGGAAGCGAAGGTTTATTTAGCTCACAATTCGTGGAGGTTTCAGTCCATCTTCAGTTGGCTCCACGGCAGAGTGGCACATGGCAAAGGGAAGTCATTCCTGGCAGCAGAAAACAGCAAAGAGCAAAGTGAGGGGCAGGAGCAGCTGCCTCTCTCCTGTCCTTATACTATCAGCAGGCTGCCCTGGGCTGGGGATGTAGAGCTCACACACCATCCTTGCCCTCCTCTTGCACAGGATGAGGATATTTGCAAAGTAAGAACCCTGGCTTCATGCTGAGTCAATTAAGCTTCTAAGATTAGCAAGGTGACATAATGTATCAACCAGTACACTAACAGATGGGAAAAAATTTTCAGCTACTCCTCAGAAAGAGGACTAATATTTAGAATATATAAGAATTCAGATAAATTAGACCTCACAAAATAAAAATAAAAAAAAAACAAAAACAGGAATCTGAAATGAATACATACTTCTCAGATGAAGAAATACAAATGGCCAATAAATACATGAAAAGATGTTCAACCTTGCTGGCCATTTGAGAAATACAAATTAAAACAATGCTGAGGTTGTTCATAAAGAATGGCTATCATCAAGAAACCCACCACCACTAAATGCTGGTGAGGCTGCGAGGAGACAAGGACCCTTCTTCATTGCTGGTGGGAGTGTGGGCAGATGTAGCCACTATGGAAATCAGTGTGGAAAGTCCTCAAAAACCTCAATCTAGAGGCTCCATTTGGCCAGGCTGTGCCTCTTCTTGGCATATTCTTAAAAACATTAAATACATCATACCGCAGTGATGCACGTGCACTGTGTTTACAGCTGCGCAGTTCATAGTGGCCAAATCTTAGAAGTGGGCTGAAGGTCCGCTGACACACGGATGGATGAAAGCTGTGGTGCTTATGCACAGCGGAACAATATGTCACAGAAAGAATATATGTAAGGCATTTGTAGAAAAATGGATGCAACTTGGACCATGATATTAAGGGAAATAACTCAGACACACAAGCTTAAGTGTCACATGGTTTCTCTTAAGTGAAAAATTCAATATACGTATAAATCACAAAATAAAGGACAGATAATGGACAAAAGAGAAAGAAAGAAAGGTATTTTAATTTAATGCAAAATGTCTAAAAGTGAACTTTGACTTAGTACAATTGTCTTACATGAACTATATGTTCTTTAGCCTATTAGCCTGGCTTTCAATTGTGTATATGATAATTAACTTTTTAAGATCTTATAAGATAAATAAATACATCTGATGCTGGGGAAAAAAAGGGGATAGAGGGAGATAGGGAAAAATTGAAATGTGTTAAGTACATGTACCAACTGCCTACTGCCAAAGCAAAGACAAAAGCAAAAAATGTAATCTTTAGAAAAGGGACATAGTTCAAACCAGCTATCCCTCTACTGGAAATTTTCCCAGAGGAACTGAAAATGTCATATCATAGTGATATATGTGCACCATGTTTATAGTAGCATAATTTGTGATAGCCAAATCTTGGAAAGAACCAAGATGCCCATCACCTGAGGAATGGATGAAAAAATGTGGTATTTTTATACAGTGGAGCATTACTCAGCTATAAAGAATAATAAACTCAAAGATATTTAAAGTGGATGTCACTTGAAGATATACTCATAAGTGAAATAAACCAGACCCACATGTATAAATATTGTATAGTCTCCCTAGTGTAAAAACTCAAAAGAAGAAATAAAAATAGAAAGGTATAACACAATTAAAAGGAAAGCAAGAACTTAAGGTTTAGACAACAAAGAGAGGGCAAGAAGAAAAGCTAGGAAACATGACAGGGGAAAAGCCATACATTTATATGCACAAGATGGGTAAGGCAATGATCCTGAGAATCTTCAGTAGGTTTTTGAAACCAGCAGTTAATTGGTAGGATTTTCACTCTTACTAACTGTATATGCTGATACCTGTGAAATAAGCAACAGCACTGAAGATAGCAATGTGTAATACTAGGGACATGCTTGGAATGCCTGTCATTCTGGTCTTCTAAATATGTACTGCTTGTCATGTCATACCAATTACTGCCATACTGTCTCTCTAGTAAATGTTTGTTTAAAAAAAGGGTAATAAATGAAAACAAGACACAAGAAAAAAAAATCATAGGACTGTCTTGCTACAATGCTGTATATGGTTAGATTTCTAAGTTTCTGTGTAAAAATATGTAATTGTTTATTCCTAATTTTTCAATTACTCATATTCTATAGGGACTTAAAGTTTAACATATCAATACTTGATGGAAAAGTACCTGTTCCATGTTATGTCTAAGATGTTTGATATTCAGACAGATAGTGAGGTTAAGATCAACTGCTTATGTTGTAGGGTAATAATAAGAAGCTTCTCTTCTGGAGGGTTAACAGCTTAAGTTTGTAGACAAAATATTAGAGAAAAAGAAGGGCTGCAAGCACAGCCAACATTTTGGTCCTGGCCTTTCAAGGTCAGTGAGGACTCAGGACATAGGAGAACCTGTACTGTAACATCATGTAACTCAGTTGTGTCCCAAATTTTCTGATCAAGGAGATGATGGGACTACAAAGGAAAGTCATTGATGATGTAGAGTGTGCCTAAGGAGAGTCACATAGAGAGAAAACTTTCTCTCAGGCTTTCACAGAGAGAGAGAGAGCAAATTGGTCAAGCAATGGCCGTGACTCATCCACATGGCTGACACTGACAAAGGATCTACAAAGTGCGGTACAGGGATAAATTCAGGAGGATAAATCCTGAGGGGACTTGATTGACCTTATCAAAATCAAACGTTATATAGGTCTTGCTTTATTTTGGTCTTAAGCATCCAGCAGAAAATTATAAAAATGAAGTATAAAAAGCGAAGCCATATTAATATGCTGAGGTGTAAAGGGCTCAAGTCAACAACTTCTGACATTGCCAGTCCTACAGATAACCCACTACTGTTATGGACTACTGGATTATATTAGAATATTTTGCTGAATTCATGCACCTACAACATTTAAATGACAATAGAATACCTGTCTCTGACAAAAGTAAGCAAAAAATGGGGATAAAAAATGAAGAACCAAGTTGTATCTGCATATTCAAAATAGGATAGATATACAGCTACTTTCTTATTCAATGAGTAGAAAGATTTGTACTAATAGTGTTTGGACAGGATATGCCTGCATCTGGTACTATGGATAACCACTAAAACAACAACAATATGCAATGCTTAATTATTGAAACTGTCCTACTAATCAGTTTTGAAACTGTCTCATTGCTGTTTGTTTCTCAATAAAATTGTTAAAAAAAAGAAAAAAGACAAAGTAGAGACTGATGTCTGTTGAACATTAGTGTGTACAAAACACTGTGTCAGATATTTTGTCTGTTGGCTCCTGCTGTGGCACAGTTGTGTGAGGAATTGCAGTCACTTGCAGATATGGGAAGAGTCTCAGAAACCTCAAATTACCTGACCAAAGCTGCATAACTAAATTGGTTTGCACTCAAATCTGCGTCTGGGGAGAGCCTGTGGCCAACATACATTCTGAGTTCCCAGCTTCTCACTCTTGGAAATCCCAGTTATGGACGGAGCAGTCTAGTGACACCCCTGCTTGCCCTGCATCTGCTGGGGCGCACCACGTGCCCGCGTCTCGGTCCTACCTCCTGCCTGTGTCTGTGCTCAGCGGAAGGCTGCCAAGGTTGCTGTCCTGACTGAAATGACCGTGCTGCCTTTTGCTATGGCAGAGGGAAGCCTTGTCAGAGGCTGCTCCTGGGAGTGTCACAAAGCAGAGCCAACGCAAGGACACCGAGGACACGGCTTTTCCACTTCCGGACTCCCACGGGTCAACGGCACATTTCTACTTATTTATTATTTATGGTACCAAGGAGTAAAACAGGGCCTTCATGCTGAGCTATACCCTTAGTTCTCTTTTTCATAAAATTTTAAATTTGAGCCAACATTGTTAGGTCACTACACTGTCTGAGCTGAGCTTGTGATCCTTCTGCCTCAGCCTCCCAGAGTCCTGGGATTATAGTTCTTTGCCTCTATAACTGGGTTTTATAGTTCTTAAATTACTGTTATAGATGATCAGCTAATTCAGCTGATTACTGTTATAGATTTCAGCTAATTCAAACCTCAGCATCTCGGAGGGGATGCTACATGTGAAGGAATGCAAGTACGTGGAAGAACTAAGTCCAAGTTTCAGGTACAAGAGGGCAAATGTTCAGATGCTTACAGACTGGACGTTTGGAATTAATCCTTCAGCCATGTACATATTTGCTTCAAGTCGCTCTTCTCTTGTGGAACACACACCATCTGCTGGGTACGTGTGTCGCTTGAGGACAAGGGCAGACTGACTCACGGGCATGCTGTTTGGTGTCCTGCTGCTCGAAGCAGAAGCCATGTGGCGAGTTAAGCTGCAGAGTGTCACATAGGAGCACAGACCCACGCAGCGCTCCAGGTGCAGACGTGTGACACTGGCTGTGTGGCAGTGTGGAACCTCAGTGGGGTGTGGACGCTGGGCGATGGCCTCTGCAGAAGAGGGGCTGTGGTCCCACGCCCTTTCAGACACTCCTGGTAAGGCCCACCTGCCAGGCAGGACCTGCAGTAACAGCAAACACCAGACAGTGGGGCCATGGTCACCTTGGCTTCTGATAGATTGAATGGGAAGGGGAGATACACAGAGAGAGAGAGAGAGAGAGAGAGAGAGAGAGAGAGAGAGAGAGAGAGACAGACAGACAGACAGACAGGGAGAGACAGAGAGACGAGAGAGACAGAGAGAGACAGAGGCAGAGAGTCAGAGACAGAGACACAGAGACAGAGACAGAGACACACAGAGAGATAGAAATAGAGACAGAGAAAGAGAGAGACAGAGACAGAGACAGATGGACAGAGAAAGACAGAGACACAGAGACAGAGATCAGATGTTGGTAACTGAACAGGGAAGGAGGGAGAGGGAAGGAAGAAAGGAGGGAGAGAAAGGAATGGATGGGGAGAGAGGGAGGGAAGGAGAGAGAATGGGAGGGAAGGAGAGAGAAGGGGGAGGGAGAGGGAGAGAAGGAAGGGAATGTCGAGAAGGGGAGGAAGGGAGGGAAGGAGGAAGAGAAAGAGGAATGGAGGCAAAAGAGAGGGAATGGGAGGGAGGTAAGGGGAGGGAGGAAGGATGGGAGAGAGAGAATGGAAGGGAGAGAGGAAGGGAGGGAGAGAAGGGGTGAGGAGAAGAGGAGGGAGAGGGAGAGAGGAATGGAGGGGAAGAGCGTGAGAGGGAGGGAGGGAAGGAGGAAGGGGGAGAGAGAGAGACTGAGAGGGAGGGAGGGAAATAAAAGGAGGGTGGGAGAGAGGGAAACAGGGAGGGAGGGAGGGAAGGGAAGGGAGGTGGAGAGGGAGGGAGGGAGGGAAGAGAATGAATACGGGACAGGTAGAGATGGTGCCTTTACAAGTATTGGTTTTAGGAGTTGAGGAAGTTTACTTTTTAGCTTATTTTCTAGGTATGGGGAGAGAATGGTACCTGAGAAGGGGGAGGTGACAGTGTTTTAGTGGATTTGAGAGCAAAGTGAGTCTGAAGGCCCTGGAAGGATGGAGACAAGGTGAGGAGCAGACTCACAGGTGACAGGTCTTCCCAGCATCAAGGCCCGGCCGGGGCTTGCACGTGAATCCTTCCTAAGATCCAGTGGTAAGCACAGGTGGGGCGCACCAGGCCTGGGGGCTGGGCGGGAGTGGTGCACCAGGAGAGCTGTGTGGTGCGAGCACCGTGGCCACGGTCTGCGTGGTGCCCGGCACAGGGAGAACGCCCGGGTCTGTGCACCCGGTGTGGCCAACAGGCGCGAATTTTTAATTTTCTAAAAGAATTACTTCAAAAGACACTTGGCCACTCATCCTTTTCTTTCTTTCTTCTTAAAATTAATTTTATTGAGAAACAAATAGCAATGAGACAGTTTCAAAACCGATTAGTAGGACAGTTTCAATAATTAATACATTGCATATTGTTGCCATCTTAGTGGTTATTCGTAGTACAAGATGCAGACATGGTATCTTGCCCACAAACACTATTAGCACAAATCTTTCTTCTCACTGAATTAAGAGAAAGTAGCTGTATATCTATCCTATTTGGTATATACAGATACAAAATGGTCCTTCATTTGTATCTCTCTCTCTCTCTCTCTCTCTCTCTCT